GGGAGTTGAAGTCCTCCAGGCTTAACGTTACCAACCCCTGCTCTAGACTTTCTGAAAATATAAGATTTTAGTTCTTCTAGACTGATGATTTCCAGAAGCATTGGACTGAGGCTCACATCAAGGGAATTGCGGTCTCAACCTTCTCAAATACATCTGCTTGAAAAGACCAGGTTAGATAGTGATTTAAAAATAAATAAATCTATCCATGTTTTCAAATCCTCACTCCTCCAACTAAGTTGGATCATTAATCTAACCCACACTGAGTTGCAACACGGGCTGCTTTTTAAAGATAGTATTATTATTATAACTCATAATAGCTACACTTTTTTTCCTTTCCTTAGGATCCTGATCTAATTAATTTAAAGGGAATAAGGGGAGGAAAAAAACCCAAATGAAAACAAAAGAAAGAAAGAAACAAACAAACAAAAGAAATTCAGCACAGCGAGACGTAAACCGCTGTGTGAAGATGATAGCTAAGTGTCTGTTGCTGCGATTGCGCTCAGCATGGGGCAGGTCTCCGTTAAGCACTTGAGGGGGGGCGTCGCTTGATATGCTGCAGCAGGAACGGTTGCCGGCTGAGCAAGCCCCAGAGCAGCAGCTGGAATAAAGACATACACAAATTGCTTTTGCTTTGCCACTGGCTGCAAGCGGCACTTAACCCATGCAAAGCTTACAGCATGCAAGCATTGATTTAAATGTTATGTCTTTTACCTTGATTTCATACTAGATTAAAAAAACAGAAGAAAAATAAAAAAAGGGAGAAGAAAAAAAAACAGTTTTGTTATTATTTTTGACATTTTGGTGGGTAACAATACAGCTTTTTAGATAGATTCAAATATAGTCTTAGGGAGTCGAGACATTTCTTTTAAATAACTTCCCATGTGTCATTGTTTTTTGAGTAGGGAATTATATGCCCAGGCAAAGCAAAAGTTCAGGCAGGACTTAGCTAAGCTGTTTTTTTTTCCTCAACTTGATATAAGCATGGTAAATATCGGGGCTCTTTTTAGAGTTGCAGCTTCTGATACTATTTTTGCAGCTTCAGCTGGAATAGCAATAGGAACAGCCCTTAGACTTATATATCGCTTCATAGTGCTTTACAGCCCTCTCTAAGGGGTTTACAGAGTCAGCCTATTGCCCCCAACAAACTATGAAGCAATATATAAGTCATTTAACCCACCTCGGAAGGGTCGAAGGCTGAGTCAACCTTGAGCCTGGTGAGATTCGAACTGCCAAACTGCTGGCAGCAGAAGTAGCCTGCAGTACTGCATTCTAACCACTGCGCCACCAGCTCTGAGGATTTTGCTACAGTGATTCATACCCATATTACCATTCAGGTAGGTTGCAATGTGTTTTACTTAAAATTGTATTTAAAGCTCACTTCAATACTACTTTCAGAATTCAGTAGACCACATGTTAACTAGCATTTGTCTTTGAGAACACTTGTGGTCAGAAACCTGCCCTCGCTATCAATGAGTTTGCAGGTTCAATTAAAAGTGCCATTTATTGACCATTATTGCTTGGCATCAGGGTATGGACAGACCCCTTGCTCCAACCAAAATTGGCCAAGGGAGAGATTGTTTCTAGTATTTTATTTTGGAGAGCTAAAGGGAGCTGAGTCCAGAAACTGCTGTTTCTTAGAGATAGCACCAATCTCTAGAATAGTTTTTCAGCTGAGTTCAGAATGGCCATCCGCCCCACTTCCCCAGTTTCATTCAGAAAAATGTATTCTGGGGAGCATTGTAATCATATTTTCTTTTTTGGTGTTGTTTTATTGTTATTTAGCTTGTATATTTCTTCCATTGTTTTCATTTATATTGTTTTCACTATCAGGAATAGTTCATTTGTGGTGATGGTGAGAGTGCAAGAGAGATTGAGCGCAGGAATTTTCTGGCCAAAATACTGGCACGACTTCACCGCTAAGATTAATGTAGAGTTAAGCTACTGTCAGTGGTTTTCTTCAACACGGATCCCTTTTAAATACTTTTTTGGCTATGGACCATGGCCATGGAACCCCAAGATTTAACTCAAGATTTAAATAATAACATTTCTTCAAGACTTCATGGTCTCCATGTGACAACATTGTGGCTCTCCAGGGGTATGAACCACAAGTTGAGAGCTACTGGAGCGTGTGATTGGTGTGTGAGGTTGGAGAATAAAGTCAACAGCTGTGCTGCCTTTCCCCTAACACATCCCTTTAACCGATAAAGGAGAATATCTGTAGCTCAGGGTTGAAATGAGGGGTAACATCATCATTTTAGTCAGGTACTACTAGCACTGATGATGTTACCTAGTTAGCGTAATGAAACGTCTGCAAGAAAGCAAGGACCCCTCACATCCCTTTGATTCCTATGCCATTTTAACTAATGGAGCAGGAGAGATTCAGTTCTGTGGCTGAGAAGATAAGACTAAGGGGAGATGTAAGAACCACACTGAATAGAAAGCCAAATAAAAGACCTTTAGTCATCTCTTACAGTTAGATTCTCTTAAAGGAACAGATGAAACTAATGGGCTATTTTATCTGCTGGCATCTTGGAAAGCCATGGAGACACTTCATTCCAAGATCTGCAGAGCCAGGCAAAATTTTGGGGGACAAAAGTCACATTTCAAAAATTATTATTGTATATTGCAGAAGTCAGGGGGCTGCATTTGACAGGATTAATTTATAAAGGTAAAGTGGCTATAACTAAAATATCTGGATTCTACAGTATTTGAACCTTTATTTCATTTATTTTTCTAAAAAAAAACATCCAGAAAGGTTCCATAGTTTATTTATTAACAGTTTAAATATCTAATAAATTCGAATACCTATACATCTTCCTACAGAATCAGAACTGAAAGCCTACAAAATGTGTTTTATACAAATAATTTACAACTAGGCAGGAATTTCAGGTATTGAATTCTGATGTAAATCTGTTACAGGCATTATCAAAATACGGTCAAGTTATATAGTATGTTCTTTCTCAACTTTTTGATGCATGATTCCCAGGAAAAAAATATGGTTCAAAATGAGTCAGGTTGAGAAAGAACAGGAATATGACAGTTTCTTTATACACACAGATGCCTTTTTTGTCAGCACTGATTCTAGGGGCATGTTCTTATTTATTAAAGGTCTATTGTAAGGCTCAATATTTTAGCAACATAAGGAAGCAAAATAAATGAATAGATGCCACTACTGAAAGATGAGCCTGGAAATTCCATCTTTCTCTAAAGTCCTCACTGTGTGGGCGGGTAGGCAGGCTGGAGAGGGAACCAACAATTTAGGAACCTGCATGCTTGTTCAATATTTAAACAAAATATGGGGCCAATCTAAGGTATACATGCAATGCAAAGTGTCAACCAAAGACTACAAAGAGGAACTTTATAGGCCTATGCAATGTACTCTCATTATCTTTAAAACAATGAAGGTCAAATCAGGTCACACTGGTAAAGCTTATTCTCTACCATGTTAATAACCTCAAAAACAAGTGTTGGTTGTTATGTGGTATGTGTATGTGCATGTATATATGTGTATGTATGTATGTGTGTATATTATGTTTGCGTATGGGTATATAAATAAATAAAAAGACGTGTTTGAGATATTATTTTCTGTATTACATAAGCCATTGTGGATTATAGAAAACTTAAAATGGACTTTTGATTCATCACTGGGATATATTCAGCAGAATATCAATTATGTAGCTATTAGGCAGTTACAAAAAATCAACAGAAAAACACACTTTTACAGACTTAAGTAGACTATTATTCCTGTTGTTTGTTTTATTTGAAAGATGCAAAAGTTAGCATGAATGATGGCATTAACAAGAAAAAGGAAGGGGCAAAAGGGGTCTCCAATCTTGGCAACGTTAAGCCTGGCGGACTTCAACTCCCACAATTCCCTAGCCAGCTTAAAGTCCATCAGGCTTAAAGTTGCCAAGGTTGGAGACCTCTGATCTACATGAATGTCTTTATAGGCCTCTCAAAAACTATCAGCCTCCCTGCTGAAAAGCCTGATCCTTTATGAATAAAAGGAGCCTATGATTCCCTAATTTTAAGCGTGCAGAAGGCAATAGCAAATCACTCCTGTACTGATCTGAAAACTGTACAGATGGATCCTTCTATGTAGTTACCAGGAATTGAACTACAGCTAGGGAGACCATATCTTATCGTTTTGTAGATTTCTCTAACATACTGGGAAATAAAGTCTTGTTCAATGCAAATTTTTTGCTATTGAATCTTTATAGTCAACTGTATTTTAAATCACTTTACCTTAGGTTTCTTCTCAGCGATGGCAATCCACCAAAATAAATGGGCTCATCAGCTTTCAGATTGAGGCCAAAATGCTTTCCTGGAGAAACTGCAGGTATGATTTCTTCGTTGTTAGAATCTATGTCTACAATTGATATATTAGCTGGGGTAACACAAAGAAAAATGTTAATGTGTGGGTGTGTAGCTGGAAATATTTCAAATATCTCTCCTTTCTTTATCCAAATGGTACGTGTGATTTGTACCATTTAACTGCATTTTCAAAATACAGATAATCCCTGACCTGTGACTAGGATTGAAATAATAACTTCTGCTGCTAAATAAAGTGGTTGTTGGGCCTGTGATTTTATGACTTTTTTTGCCAAAGTTAAGCAAATCATTGCAGTTGTTAAGCAAATAACATGGTCATTAAGTGAATCCAGCTTCTTCCACTGATTTTATTTGTTAGAAGCCAGCTGGGAATGGAAGTGCATCCTTACAAATTCATACCGAGATACAATATAATCTCCCCCAAAAAAGACAATATTAAAGTAGAACACTTTGCAAAAATAAAAGCAAACATGCAGGGAAATAAAAATATATGAGAAAAGAAGAAGGCAGTGCCTGAAGTTTATTTTTAATAATTAAATATACAATTCATAACAATTTTATTTCATCCTTAGAATTCCATTGTGTTTAATGATATGTTAACTTCAATTACAAATAAAACATGCAAAAAATCCTGTTCCAAAATGATCAGGATTATGATGAGTGGAGGCCTTGCATGTACATATGGCATTTCTACACATTCCACCCACTGCTGTTTTCTTAGAAATAAGTGCTCACTCTCTATAGACCATCCAACTCCATTTAATAGCAGGGGATTTGCAATTGAATGCCTCCATACCACCCTATTCCTGATATGGTGTTCTTCTAAATATTATTTTAATACATTTTTAATGTCACATGATTTGCCATTTCTAGGTAGAACGGGGTGGGTGGTAAATCTATTTAGATTTAAATAATGGCAATGATCTGCTATTTGAACTGATGGATGGAATTTTATTTCTCTCTCCTTCTGTCCCTTGAAAGCTGCTTTAGCAATTTGAGGATTTGAGTTGCAAAAGATTGGGGGCGGGGGGGGGGGCGGTATGAGAAATGCAAAAATCATAGAATTATATAGTTGGAAGGGATCTTGGATGTCCCCTAGATGAATAATACAGGGGAAATTCCTGCTATTTGACTGCATCACCTTCCTGTAGCCCAACATCATGAAAAAAAAATGTATTGAGACATTTATTTGAAGAAACATGATATATATAAAGTTAGTGCAGATCAGTGAAGACATATGAACATAAATATATGCTTCAGAAAACAATTAGCTTGGCTTAATTTCTCAGAATAAATGTGATTAATTGGAATTGTTCTATGGTTTTATAAAATTCAGTCTTAATATAGAGATAAATATAGGAAGGTTTTAATTTGTTAAAAAACATTCTCCCTGATTCCAGGTCTTAGCAAACAATATTAATAGATGGAAAAGAATCACATTTTTCTTCTGTTAGCAGCATGTGAAAGTCTTCTGAAAACACTCATTCACCATATGGAAATTCTGTTCACTTTGCTTGAATTCCACATTTTCTCTGAAATATTAGGTGGAATTCAATAGCAAGTATAGTGACACTATACATTTAAGATATCCTTTCTATCGAAAGGAAGCCTTTACTTCCAGCAATACAAGAGTTGATGGCACTTAGCAAAATGAAACTAGTTTGCATTAATAAGCAGAGAGATAACACCAGCAACATTTAACTCAGTGCTTTTTAAAGTCATTTTAAGAAATGCAAAATATGAAAGAAATATAAAACTGACTTCCATTCAAAAGAAATAGCGTAGATTTGTTTTATGAAATTTGAAAAAACATTGGGGCACTGCATGAAAAATACATTTCCCCCTTGCAATACATTTCTGAGTGTAATTTAGGTAGCTGTGAGGTAGAATTATGCCAAAAAATTAAGCTACCTCATTCAAAACAAAATCATAAGGGACCCATCTGACACTGCAATCAGTCACAACTAACCTGTGCCATCTATAATTGAAGGCAAAAGAAGTTGCTAAATCATTTTCTTCTACAACTTTCTAAACCTGCAATTTTATACACCATCTTCTCTGTGATTAGGTGGTTAGCCGTGTTGGATAAGATAATCAGGATGTTTCTCTTGTCCCTGCAAGAACTCACCTTGTTTCAGAATTCTTGACAAGGTGAATGATTTCCATTTCCCATCATTGTGGCTCCAGTTACCGACAACTGAAGCTGTTCCTGAGCCTAGATCATAGCTGACTTTAATATGCCCATCACTCAGTTCTATGCTCATGAAATCCTTCTGTTAGTGAGAAGCAAAAATTACAAATGTTGATTTAGCAATTGCATGATAACTGTAAATCCCACTTTTTATCTATCAATCTTAGATGAAGTGACTGTTCCTTCCATTATCTCCAGTCCCCAACCATTTATGCAAGATTTGCTTGCCCCCAATCTCCCCTTTTTAAAAAATTTATATGGTTCAAAAAAGAAATTGTCATTTAGATTCATTTAAGGAACCCATTGTGCAAACAGTAGGAACAATTTCTTCCAATCTGAAAGATAAATACCTCTTTGTACAAGACATCAAATTACTGTTTTTATTGGAAAAAGATAATCTGTGAGCACGTGCACTACACAAGACAAAGAAAGGCACATTTTATAGTTCCAAGTAAGGAAAGGCGGTAATGTAAAAACGAATTATTGTATTTCAATCACATATTTACACTCCAATATTACTGTATATGAAAGTATGAGGTTCATTTCAAGGAAATATGTTAATGAATGATGAACAAAATCAGATGGCAGTGTTCAGTGCCTTGTTAGGTGGGAGCATGCAGATGACCTTGGTTACTTTAGAAGTTAAGTAGGGTCAACTCTGGAACCCCTCAGCTTCAGATAACAGATAATCAGAGTTGGAAGGGACCTTATAGGTCATCTAGTCCAACCCCCTGCCCAAGCGGGAGACTCTACACCATTTCTGACAAAGGGCAGTCCAATATCTTCTTGAAAGAGATTCCAGAAGAAATTTAGCTGTACAACTGTAGTATTTGTCTATAAAGCTAAAAAAAGAATTACAAGTATATAATGTACCAATTCCTACTTAAAAGAAGCTTGATTTTAGTTATCTGTCAATTAAATATTTTTACATTTCATAACCTAAAATGCAGGAATATATATATTTTAATATATAAAATTTCAAGCTTTTGAAGCAAAGAGAAAATAAATTGGTTGGAGGGATCAATATTTACAAGTCACCTCATTCTATGCAAAGTTCATATACACTAAACATCTTTGCAAATTGAAAACCAGCATAATAAATGTCATATGCAACTCACAATTTAATTTAGTCTTCTTCAAGCTACGAATTTAAATCTTGCTAAAATCTACTAGTCAGTTTGCTATTTGGAGAAGGGGGTATCAGAAAAGCAAAGGAGTAACAGGGAAAAATAAAAACATGAGCAACTAGATCCAGTTTTCACTTTGGTTAACCAATCCCTAACATATCTCCACCCAGATGCATTGCTTCTGGGAAAGACAGCCCTCACTGAAAAAAGAAGAAAAAGTGCCAATCATTCCACTGATAGAAATGTGTGCCACAGTTTGAATATTAAGGGTGCAGGGATATATTGAAATCTATGAATCTGACCTGAAACTGAGTTTCTCATGTAGCATTTGCTGTTAAAAGAAAATAAAACCCCTATCTTTCCTAACAACACCAAAGTCATTGTTAAAATAAGTAGATAAATTCCAGTGAATGTTTATATTACATAATGCCCATCTATAACTGATAAGGAAGTGCTGACAGCTACTGTATATATTACATTATATTATTTGGCAATGCAACTTAAAATGTTCCACTAGTAATAATAAGAACAATAATATTAATGATCTGTATTATAGTGTTAATATTATACAGGCAGCTGTATTAAGTCCTCATACATGATCTTACTTTATCTATAAACAGTCATAAAACTCACAGTGAAACTCACTGTAAAATTCATCTACAGGGGAACTGGCATATATTTCATTTCTCTTTACGGGAACTTACAGATGCCATAATATTAATGACACAAGTCTAAGAAGCATAGTTTTACCAAGTCTAGAGTAGCAAGATACATCAGGAGAGCAGTAGAAGAAAATGTCTTGAATTTGAACATGACCATGGAGATATTGGGGTTCCATCTTATGGGACGACTAACGGTAGCATAACCTTCTCCATCAAACTGAACAGTTCCCTCACCATCTGCCACCTGGGGGCTGTGATATGAAGAAACACAAAATAATCAAATTTGAAACTGTTAGATATCAGAAGTTTGTAAATCATCTAACAGCTGATTAAAATCATCATTTCAGTTAGAATTATTGAGAAAAAGATGAGTCTATCTGAATCATTCATTCAAATTGATTGATATAGATTATTTGAATCAACATTGATGTAATATAACAATCTCATAACAGGTGCATGCAAGTCCCCTGAATCATTTTATCAAGTAATTTTATTCAGTCATCAAATCAAATGTATTTGATCTGATGTACTATATCAGGTGCATGAACCAAAACCTATCAATTTATTGATTTGAAGAAATACAATTTAATTTCATGCATTCAGGGAATCAGATAGCTAAATGAAGTAGAAATACAAAGCTCTGAATCAAAATTTCACACAGCTCATATATGATATGAGTCTTTGCTCATATACGTATTATATTTGTTACATTTGCATCCATATACTGACGTCCACAAGATGATAAATGTGGACATATATGTTATAATATCACACAAATGACATATATTTGCAAGATCTGTCATGCTGTCATTAGGTACCTGCATAATTTGCATGATGTAATGATGCAGATACCACCATTCAAATATCATCCATCATGTATTGATACTGTTTCTGCAGTATCTATTATGCATATAATTGAAGAAATGCCCTTAGACATGTAAAGATTAACTTTGAATGCATATAAATATTTAGTTCCTATATATTTTCAGTCATTCATTTACCGGGTATGTGTATTGGGGAGGGGATGGTGAATATTGTGAGCTATGCAATACAATTTTCTTTTTTCAGAGTAGTTGTAATAATGATTGGGCTTTCAAAAGGCTGATCCTTATGCTAAAGAAACCAAATAAGGCCTTTCAAAGTGTTATTTCTATATAAAAAGAAGTACTAATAATAGATTTAGGGGGGGAAAAGTTGTGAGATCTTTAGCTACAAGAAAGAAAGAAAGAAAGAAAGAAAGAAAGAAAGAAAGAAAGAAAGAAAGAAAGAAAGAAAGAAAGAAAGAAAGAAAGAAAGAAAGAAAGGACTTTAAATTCCTTAAATTCCAGTCACATTGCCCTCTTCTATTAGATATAATTCAGAGAAGTTATAAATGACCTAATTATTCATTTTCATGGTGATAATGGTCAAAATTATACTATAATCTTTGACAAAAAATAGAATATAATCAATAATTTAAGTGGATCATTTAGGCTTAAAAACATGAACATGTTTTTTAAAATAATTACAATAAATAATATTAAGGGGGGAAAAAAACCTTACCTGACAGCACAGCCTTTACACTCTCCTTCAATGTCTCTGAAATTCCATAGCCCTATTGGTTTGCTGTCTAAATAGGTTTCCCCCATGCATCCTGTGAAAGTAGTGACTCTAACAGCGTCAGATTTCTGGAAAGAGAAAGTACGCTGGCTAAGTATTGAATCTTTTATTAATAGACTCTATTACAATTTGTAACAAAAACCGGTATTTGTCCATAGCTTGCCTTTTGAGGTTTGCTCCCACATATGCCTAATTTTCAACAGAAGTAGAAGTTATTGAGACAAAAATGATTGACATGGACAGAGAAAACATGCCTTCTGTGTCACAGCACCTGCCTTCTGGAATGAGGTTGTCCCTGAGATCCAGGTGGCTTCCACTCTGCTGGCATTCCTGAGGACCTTAAAGAGCTGGTTCATCTCTCATCGTATTGAATGGGAGAAAGCTTACAGCAGGACTCGCCCAACTTGGCAA